ATCGACGAATCCGCTCCAAATAACCATCGGCTAATCTGCAGGTAACGTGTGCTCCTGCTTCTGGCTCGCTTGCTCCACAAAACCCATCGCAACTGCACAATAATTGCTCGCTCATCAACAACCACTGTTGACCTTTACGCTTCGATATGACCGCAACCGACCAGGTATAATACGCGACGTGAATGCTCAAGCTTAGCGACCGCGTTCGCGCAACAATGCAGCACTTGCTATGGGAGGGATGGTACTATTGCTTCCAGGTCAATCAATCGGGAAAATAATATTGAAGCTCTTGTAATTTTTCAAAAGATCCAGTTTGCCCAAGGAGCACCGAACAGATACGAATCTTATAGCGGAGCTAAAAGAAATGAGCGGCAGTGGAAAAAGTGAACAAGAACATGTACCACATTTTCTCCATAAAAAGTGAAAACCAGGAAGTTTTCTGGACGTTTTACGTTGTAGTCATGCAAATCAACGGCTAGGAAATGTACAAGAAAGTCTGCTGCAATTAGACCTATTGTTGTTTTTCACAGTTCTGTTCAAGGGCATCCAACTTTTAATTTTTCACATTTCACTCACAGGGTTAGGCTACTTTTCGTAGAGAGTAAAATGGAATCCTAAAATTTTCCGATTCAAAAATGTGATGAAAGAAGGTATCTGAAAAATTATCTCCTTCGTAATACGGTAAATTGCATCTAAAATTTTCGGGAAAATAATTCTGAATTCCTCGTAATTTCCAAAAGACTCAAGTTCCTCTAGAATGGCCGAACACTGAGATGCAACTGGTTTTATAGCGCCACTTAGAATGCATTTCTATAGAGCTAAAAGTACTTTATGAATAGCTACAAAAGTGTTTTCAATTGAAAGTATTTGAGGAAACAGTCGTTGGGTGGCCCTGTCTCGTTGCCTTCTCCGCTTAGCATTACACGATATATTTTATATTTAGTATGAACAAGCTATAAATCTTTAGCTACGCTTTTAGCTCTACTGACTAAATTTATGTAAGCGCTGTTTAAAATACATTTTTCGATCAAAAGTACTCTGGACAGCCTTATATGTGTTTTCAATGCATGTAGAAGGAAATCATCGTTGGGTGCCCCTGAGTTTTGAGAATAATAATAATAATAAAAAAAGATATCGCGCACATAAATTTTACTTTACGATATCTTCAGCTGTATCTTCTATTCAGCTGCATAGCGGGGACCAGATTTTGCCTTTTTCCTGGGCGGAAAATTCTCGTCCTCCTTCACCAGTTTGGACAACATATTATGGAGTAAGACGTTGTTAATCTAAGCAAATAAGTCTGGTAGAGTCAAGAACCTATGCAAGCGGCTGGACGAACAATGTGACAGCAGCTGAGACAGCGAACGTTAGAAGAATTCGAAATTGAAAACCAGGGCTGCCCTGTTGAAAACTTACAGACGGTCCGCGATCGCCTTTTGTTTTCTGGTCAAAACTAGCGCAGCGAACCATCGGTCAGTCGATTGACCTAGAAGCAATAGTACCATCCCTCCCATAGCAAGTGCTGCATTGTTGCGCGAACGCGGTCGCTAAGCTTGAGCATTCACGTCGCGTATTATACCTGGTCGGTTGCGGTCATATCGAAGCGTAAAGGTCAACAGTGGTTGTTGATGAGCGAGCAATTATTGTGCAGTTGCGATGGGTTTTGTGGAGCAAGCGAGCCAGAAGCAGGAGCACACGTTACCTGCAGATTAGCCGATGGTTATTTGGAGCGGATTCGTCGATTATTCTCGAATTTATAGCGCTTCGTGTGAAGGCGCGTGGAGATGGTCTGTTTGTTTTGTAGCCAGCCTTTAATTCTTCTTTAGTGGATAGTACCTACAATTGCAAAACTCAATAAAATGCCTCTTAAACCGGCCAGGAAAGACAAGGATACGTTCAGTTGAAGGTATCTTAGCTTTGTTTTGTTACATTTTGACGTTTAGACTATTTTAGTCCATGGGAGTTTCGACGACTCATCGCATTAATTTGTCCATGTGAATATAAATATATTCATTCAGTGACACATACTACGTCTGGGCTGCCTGTGCTTTGGGATGATTTTACGTTGCTAATGGGTCCCAACGTCCTCTCAGTAAGTCGGCGGGCACGAAGCGGGTATGTAGAGGAAAAACACAGAACAGGAAGCAGTAGCTGATGTAAATTAAAGCCAGTATGCAGTGTCGGACAAGTGCAATGCCTAAATCATTGTTCTAAAACTTAACGAAAGGAATAAAAGACCGAAAGTTTTATTTACAACAAAAAGGCAGAGAATGAAAATACAGAGGCTAGTTACTTTATTGTCAGTGCAGTTTTCGACTCGTTTTAGATTGGAAGTATATGTTTTTCAATTGTTACTAGTTTAAAAATCGTGGCTTGTGAGTAGTCACCATTTGTAATTGACAGGTCTGCCAAATCTGCAAGAGTAAGGATCCTGATAATGCCCAAGAACAAGTCCTGTGGATACAATGTGACACATGTGACATGTGGTACCATCAAGTTTGTGTTAGAGCCTCTTGGCCACCTTTATTATGCCCTGCAGAGGATGGCATTTTCTGGCACTGCCTCTCTTGTGTTGGGGTGAACACTATGTGAGGTTGTAAAAGACATATCCTTTCCAACCTGTCAATTATTAAGTCCTGACTCTGTTAGAAAAAGTTACCCCAGAGGCGGGAAAATGACATTTAGTAGGTGCCTGGGGGTGGGGAATTTGCCTCTGGCTTACATTAAAATGTTTCCCCTTCTGCCCGCCCCCCACCCTTTAACATTGATAGGTGCATTTTATATTCGATCGAACCAGCTTAAAATTAGAATATTTCACTACACGATCATTTTTTTCATTTCCTTTTTATTCGTCTTTAAAAATATGATATTTTTTGGTAATATATATGTCATCGTAGCGGCCCTTAGGCCCTCCGTTTTGAATAGTTCCTTGGCTTCTTCCTTCTGCCCTTGTCCGCAAAGAGTTGAACCTTCTGTGCGAGATTCTTCATGATTCCTAATAGATCATACAAAACATAACGAACAGATAAAACTGAATTCATACGGAAAAAAATGACTAGAAAACCTCCACTAACTTGCTGTTGTCCTCAACAACAACAAGTTAGAGCAGGAGGATTCCACATTTGCCTTGGCCTCCAGCTTCTTCTGGAAAACCAGAATAGGTTGCATATTATTTTCGATGGGAAGATCAGTATCCTTCATGCACATGTCAATGTACGTGGAAAAAAAATCTGAGGTGAGAAGAGCGCTTAAGAGAAGCTTACGTTCAAAATCAAGCACTTTAGGCACATGTAAGAACGATGTGTTGATACGTACCGCGTTGCTTCGACCCCAAAATTATCTCTTCGACACACAAAATAACAGTTTTGTGAAGCCAGCAGTAAACGTCGATTGCGGCCACCTTTCCACAGAAAGATCTCAAATGAACATCGCATGTTATGTCCTTTAAAAGCGGAAGAAGACCTGTAATGTCCATATCACACTATTTCTCCCGGTATTTTTATGGCGTAACGAGAGATGTGAACAAAGCGAAGGTCAGATGCAAATGAGCCGTTTTTGATTTTTTCCCCATGATGCCCTTCGGACCGTGTCCAACACCGCCTGAACGCAACCTATCTGATCAGTGAACAAAAGACGTGGTTCTCTAACTGCGAAGTACTCAGTGAATTCCTTCTTGCGACGGGCGAAAGTGGAGACAAGCGTTTGAAAGACGATAGCTGTCAAGAGAGCTTGGGCATTGCACCTAATGCGTAATGGAGAGCCAAATGCCAGTGAGTTCAACATTTTTGAGTCAAAGCTAAAATTCAACTAGAGTGTCCGGTAATTATGGTCAATGACATTCCACGCTTTTTAATTTTGTTTAGTTGCAATGTTTTTAAGGATCTTTGAGGCGGACCAAAAAAAAAACGTTAAAAAAAAGGGTTTTGGTATTAAATTTGGTTGAAGTTATTTTTATTGATTTGAAAATTACTGAAACAAGGTTTATTACCATTCAGAGCCCGTTTGTTACTTTTGAGTAAACATTTCGTCCGCAGTCTGCGTGTCACACGTGCACATGAACACTTTAAATTATGCGCTCATTTTTTATGCAGTTATGGATATCTCGTAAACCTGTCGACGTCAGTCGTTGTACTTCGTGCATACCCTTAAATAAATGCGTAACAATGAGCCCAAGGTGTCCCCCGCGACATTAATACAGTTGGAACCTCTTGTAAACGACCACTCTCGGAAGCGACCGCGACCACATTTCGGGGCTGACGTCGGTTTTCCTTTGTTTTAACCTCTTTAAGCGACCACTTGACGTATGGTTTGATCTCTATTTTGCTGTATGCAGTCCCGATAATGCTACTCAGAGTATAAGAAGAACTTTTAGCGAGAGCGTAGAGCTACTCCTCCATACCCATACACAGTTTCAATGCCTAAATATAGACTTTTAAAATAACAAAACTGAACCATTACTGTGGCTTCGACAATATAGCACACAACCTCGTTCCCAGGATTCTCTCCTACCCGCCCTCCGTAGGGCGGGTAGGAGAGGAGGTTGTTTAGCACATAGTGTGACATAGCCCCTCTAGCGGTTCTCAAAACCAGCCATTCCCCAGGAAATGTTATCGTTTCCTCTTTTATTGGTCAGTTCTTTATTAGAGCGATTTTCTTATGACCTTGAAATATGATTTCGGTACGTGTTCCTTTTTTGATTTATCAGCCAATCGATGAAAAGATCCAAACATGGAATCTTCGTTTTCACACCAAAGAAAACCCTAATATGGAGAAGGCATTGTTCGATTAACGAATCGTGTTGCAGTATGACGTCAAAGGGAAGTATTGGTTGATTTCTAGAAAGTTCTCGGGCATCAAGTTTTTTCAGCCGAGCTCGTTCGATTTTCGCTTAACCAACCCAAAAGCCACGTGCGTTTGTATCCGTTCGATCATGAACCAATCAAATCGCTCTATTTCCGTTCGTTTCTTGTTTGTGTTTTGTTCGCGCGTTGTTATTTTAAAGTCATAGGAAAATCGCTCTAACAAACGCTCTGCATGCCGTACGTGTAAAGTTTTTCAAACCGATTGTACAATTATTGCTCCTCACAGGGAAAAAAGAAGTTGGTAAATCAACTCCTGCTCCAACAACAACAACAACACCAGGCCCTACCACTCCTGGTACTGAAGTGTGGTGGAATGTTCGTCTTCCGGACAACATTGTCCCTGATCACTATGACGTGGTTCTTTATATTGATCTCAAGAAGCTGGTGTTCTTTGGAGATGTATCAATTCTGGTGAACGTAACAAAGCCAACTGAGAATGTACTGGTTCATGTCAATAAGATGAATATAACGTCTGCTAAAGTAGAGATGGCTTCCAGTGGAGGTGAGAAAAACTATTTTTTTCGTTGATTGATCGCTCGATTTAATATTAGCTAAAAGGAAAACAGATCTGATATTTTTTATGACTGAATGTCTCTAAAAAGACCTGGTCCCGGTTGTTCAAACGCTGGATAGTGCTATCCACCTGATAAATCGCTATCCAGCGGATAAGTAAGAGGGAAATCAATTGCGTTATCCACTGAATAGAGAGTTATCCACCTTTTGAACAACAACTGGGGTCTGTATATTTATAAGTCAAAGGCGAGAGCGGTTATTCCTTCGACAACTTAAATCAACCGATGGATACTTTTCCTAGTTTTTATTCAACCAATCAAAAAGCAAGATAGTCATCGGGCAAAAAATAACTAGAAAACCTGTCCAATAGGTTAAAAAATAGTACATGACCGAACCGTATATTTATGAGATTTCGCCGCATTTTATTCATGAGATAAAGAGAAAGGGCTATGACGTCATGTATCCCCCCGCTGAGTATGAGCAGTCAAATCTAAAGGTAGCTTATAGATTCTGTGACGAAAACGACAACGAGGGCGAGGTTTTCTCAATACTATTAGTAGTGCCCGCGCGTGAACCAGCGTCATTTTGGCGGGAAAACGTGATAGCCATTTGTCATTCAACTACCGGCTTCAGCAGGCGACGGCAATAATTCACGTGACGTTTTCGCTGCCGTCGTATTGGCGGAAACAAGTTATCAAATAATCATTGCCCTCTTAGCTTTGCTTCGCCATAACGTCCTTTCAACTTTTATTGGCAGATTCCCTAAGCATGCAAAGGCGATTCGAATTTAAGAAAAACCAGTTCTACGTTATGGTGATGAAGTCACCTTTAGAAAAAGGTCGACAATACCGAATCAAGATGAGCTTCAGAGCACAGCTTACAGGTGACCTGGCGGGATTATACAAAAGTACCTACAAAAGAGACGGCAAAGAAATGTAAGTTTGTTATTTTTTGTAATGATATATAATAAAATTTGTGTATTATAACATAGCGCTCGTTCTTGACCTATTTAAGTCCTATAGACCTTTTTACCGATACGGCGGCCATATTGAATTTATTACATTTAACTAGTATTATGAGATGCCCAGGGGGCATGAGCACGATCCGATATACTCGCTCAGTAAATATACGCGCACTTTTCGGGCCAATTTTTCTTTGCGTTTTCCTAGAAAAAGATCGTTGTGCCGTGTTTGGATGTAATAATGATCGCCTTTTTCCCGAGAAGTAGATAGCGAAGTTCTCTTTTTGCCCGAAAAGCGCGCGTAAATACTGAGCGAGTGCCCCCTGGGTATCCTATAATACTAGTTAAATGTAATAAATGCAATATGGCCACCGTATCGGTAAGAGGGTCTATTGAGCCGCTATGAACAAAATCTTTATTTGCGCACGCCCGTGCTTAAATAAAGATTTTTTTCATGATGACGTGTTCAGCTGTGTTTTTCGTCTCTTTTCCTAAGTACCCAAAAATCGACGGCAATGATGAAAAACTTTCTAGCATTTTTGGAATTGAGCTTCTAGCCACTCAAACCAACAGCAAAAGCGGTGAAGATGTTTTGCAAATAATAGAGCCTGAATCGTTGAAAAGTCTGCTGTAAAGACTGACATTTAGCTGGAAAAAGACCACAAATTGGTCTGTGTCGGAAAATATCCAATTTGTACAAAGTGTCCTCCGTTTTTAACGTTTGTTTATCCTTTACAAAACAAGTTAATTATAAAGTAAGCTCAATTACGAAAAATTATGCACTTTTGTCATCGTCGAACAATCCGACTGAAGCTTGGAAAACTTCTCTTGCAATAACAAGACAAATTGCACAAGAAGACATAAATTTATTACTCACAAAAACAACTGCTGCCAGATCTTCTCAAGAAGCTGTAATGACCAGCCATTGTTCGTAAATAAATATAAGTTTAAAGTAGGATGTCAGTCGTCTTCGCCAAATAACAAGTTTTCCATCCTCGAAGACCCAGGGGCAGATAGTGGGGGCGAGGGAAAGTCTAAACGGGCGGAAAATATGGCACAAAGAAAAGTAAAGAACGACGAGAAGAGCCCCTGGGGACAATGCCTTACCAGACCAGTTCCAAACGGTCGCCCCCGTTCTGCATTCTGATTGGGTAGAAAAACACAAAAGTTTTCTGGCACCAATCAGAAGGCAGAACTGCGGCGACCGTTTGGAACTGGTCTGGTAAGACATTGTCCCCAGGGGGTCTTCTCGCCGTTTTTTACTTTTCTTCGTGCCATATTTTTCCGCCCGTTTAGACTTGCCCTCCACTATCTGTCCCTGGATCTCCGAGGATGCAAGTTTTCTGGATTTCGCCGAGCAAAACATTAACATGAATCCAAACCATACTCCACGACTTCTTACGAACATGTGAGTATTTATCTTAAGTGGACTTTAAGACTCTTACCTTTGTTTCGGCTTAGTTTCCATTGATCGTCGGTTAACGGATAAATAAGCAAATTTTCTTTCTCAGTTTTACAGAAATAATTTTCATTCAAACAAGACGATTGTGGTGTGTTTGTAATCAGCCAATAGAAGCGTTTGCTATTGTGTGGTGCGTTACGAGAATTTTGCAGTTTATCAAAAAGCAAGCATTTTTGTCAGCTATGTTATAAAAGAATTTGCTCATTCTTTTAGCTGTGCGTATATCGAGTTATGGATGCACTTGGAAAGTTTAGAGAGCACCCAAGACTCGATATACGCACGCCAAGCATGAACAAATTCTTAAATAATTGCGCCATTACCTTTTTTACTAGACGGCTTAACTAAGCCAATAACGTCATTTTTTCCTCGTCCTCTTTAAGTTTAAAATCGCCCCATGTAAGGGAATCCAAGACACTCTTGGATTCTGGATTCCACGACGTGGATTCCGGATTCCAATTACCGGATTCCAGATCTTTTTCAGTGGAACTTGGATTCCGGATTCGAATTGTTAGTGGGATTCCGGATTCCTACACCTGTATTCCGGATTCCAAGGCCCAGGATTCCGGATTCCACAAGCAAAACTTTCCAAGATTCCGGATTCCAAATGCAATAATTTCGCGGATTCCGGAATCCGGATTCCTTTACATGGGGCGATTAAAAGGACGAATAAATGAAACCGCGCGGGCCAATAGCTTAACACCAAAACCTAACCCATTTACCAGTTTAATGCATGCATTGGGATGGGGCACGTCTGAAATAAATGCTCCGTTGTTAACTATATTAATAATTGATAAATGTAACAATGGTTTTTGTGCTGCGAATAGTGCTGTTGTATCACCCTTAACACCCCAGGCTTCCAACGAAACTCCCAAAAAATCCCATGCCGAATTTCCGAGACTTTCAATGTTTGTGTTTCGTTACTCGGCATTGTACCAAATTGATCGTAAATTTTCCTCATTTGCTTTTCTAGAATAGAACTATACCCAATCCGCCCCCGTTCCCCCCCCCCCAAAAAAAAAAAAAAAAAAAAAAAACCAAGGTACCCATGAGAAAAAATACTTGCCAAAGACATCCCGGAAAGAAAAATTCCAAACGCAATCAAAGATCCTTCGATTATCCCCGTCAACCCTAACCCTAACCCCCCCCCCCCACCGCAACCTCAAGGTTAAACACTGTGATAGATGTATGAAAGTTGTGGCATTCTTATTACAGAACCATCGCAGCTACTCAGCTCCAACCGACCGATGCACGAAGGACGTTTCCCTGTTTTGATGAACCGGCGTTAAAAGCAAAGTTCACCGTGACCTTGGCACATGATCCGAGCATGATTTCCATCTCTAATATGCCAATCAATAGCCAAGAGACTAAAGACGAGTGGCGTTTGGATCATTTTGAAGAAACGCCAATAATGCCGACTTATTTACTAGCCTTTGTCGTGTGCGACTTCAAGCATAAAACTGTTACAACCCGTGGCGGAACAAAGGTAAGTGAAGGACTTTTGAAAACTAGATGATATCATTTGCCCCTTAAATGACGCCTCACTCTAAGAGTATAAAAGAGGAAATCGGCTACTGGTTTGGTTCTTTCCCTGAAAATAGCATACAGTGGAACCCCGCCCTACGACCACCCCGTTTATACGACCACCTCGTTATTACGACCATATTCTTTCGACACAAATGTAAAAATCACTTAGTCATTTTGTTATTTTGAAGATAATGCGACCTCCTCGTTATTACGACCAAGATTGTATGGCCCAACAGTGGCTGCATGAACGTGGTTCCACGTGCTTGCAAATCCCGTCTTTCCTAAACTCTAAGGAAGGCCTGACGCTCAAGCTATGAAGTGCCAATCGTAGTGGCGATGTCTCTTTAAAACATCAACAATAATAATGATTTAGCTTAGTTTTAGTATCAGTTGCTTTTCTGTCTAGTTTTCAAATTTTACTATGATAATCGCATTTTGCTATTTTAATTTTTATTTCATCCATTTGTCCAAAAATTAAGTGGCTTTTTCCTGCAATGAATTTTGGGGCTGTTAGAGTGGCGATCGTCCTTGAGCACAGGAGTTCCCATTAACCACTGGCTAACACACTATTTTAATATAGTCATTAAAGAGGTTTAATAGCCAATTGCCAAGTTTCAGCACTTTTTATGATCCTGGTACTTAAAAAGGTAAAAAGTCCGTATGTTACTTCGGTAGCTCAAAATGGTCATGTGACTCACAAACCCGAGGCCGACGGTGCGCTCATTTTACCCCCCCCCCCCCCTCCCCTCCCCCCTCACTCTCTCTCCGTTTTACGGGTATTTGAAACTACTCCAAAGTACACGGAAAGGAAAGGCAGCATGGTCGAGCGGTTGGAGCGCTGGACTTGCAATTCGGAGACCCCGAGTTCAAGTCCCGCCCTGACCGCTAGCTGGATTTGTTCACGGTAGTCCCGAGTTCAAATCCTCGACCACGCTTGTAAAACAGCTGACTGGTTCACCTCCTACCAGTTGGGATTTTTTTACCATGTTTTGTTCCATTTGTTTCATTTATGCTTCATCATCCCTGAAAAGCCCCATAATTAAAGTTTTAGTAGGTTGGTCGTAATTGACCAATCAGATCAATAACCAGAGTACAATACCATCAACTGACGTTATACAACTCACTTTGACTCTGAAGATGACTACCGCACAGGTTGTCGAAACGTCAGTCACTGTCAACAACAACAGTCCTATTCAGGACTACGTTCACCCGGACGATCAAACTCAACCTACTTTTGAAATGACTCCTGGGTTCAAACCTTTCACAGTTAAAGTATTAGTATTGTTCATGTTATTATAGTCGAAAGAGGATTTGTGGTCCCAACTGGGAATCGAGCTCGGGACCTCCCACAAAGAAGGTCGCGCACCAGCCAACTGCGCTAATACTTGCTTGTACTTGTTATAATCGTTGTACTGTTTTTATTGTTCCTGTAGATGTCATTTTATGCTCCTCCAGACCAAATAGATCAAGTGGATTACGCAATGGACGTTGGATCAAAAATGCTAGAATATATGGAGGATTTTTTCGGCATCCCATACCCTCTGCCTAAGGCTGGTAAGAATCTACTTTTGCAAAGAGCCAAATTACTGCAGCCTGCTACACAAGCTGTACAATTTAAAGTTATGGAACTACGTCGTTCATATCCTTTAGATCCTTTACGATTATGAGGGGCAAGGGCGGCGCAGTGGTGAGAGCACTTACCTCCTGGGCGACATTAATGTGATCAAACCCGGGGTTGACGATATATTAAGTGGGTAGACTTTGTTAATGGCTACTCTCTCTTGCTCCGAGAGAGGTTATTCTCTGGGTAAAACAACTTTTCCAAATTCCAATTCGACCACGAATGGTAGACGAAGGACCTTTATGCTCTAAATCGTTATTGATATGAAGACCATTTCGAATCTTTGTGTCTAACGTGTCTCCTTGTTGCTTTCTTTTCTTATCTCTTCGTTTAACGGAAACAAAGTTTGCAATACACGCTTCAGGCGTTTTTATCAACTAATCATCATCTGACAGAACCTTGTCTACTTGACTGGCCATGCTGCACTAATTCAATCATAATCGTGTTTAGAAAAGCAAAAAGATTAACGCTCGCGATATTGTAGTCATTAACTTTTTTTACTATGGTAGACATGATTGCTATCCCTGACTTCGCTGCTGGTGCAATGGAGAACTGGGGTTTAATACTTTACCGAGAGACGGCACTGTTGTACAAGCCTGGTGAATCATCAGAATCCAACAAGCAACGTGTGGCATATGTTGTATCACACGAACTGGCCCACCAGGTTAGTTGAAATCCCTAATCCATATGTTATCAATTGGATTGTCAGCTTTCTTAGTAATAGCACAGGGTCCAGAGGAGTTTCGTGTGAATAAATGAATTACGTATACTGATTTAAAGTCTCACCTTGAAAAATGTCTGTACCTGTCGCTTAGCACGATTAATTAGCCCAATGGGATCTTTATGAATCTACTGTAAACGATTTCTTCGCTTCTTATCTGCTTACACCACGTACTTACCTTTTGAAAATCAATAACCGCAAGCCATATCCTCGCTGGCGCACGGCGCGTCGCCCGAAGGGTGGCCGAAGGCCGTCGCCCTCGGCGACCGAGGCACGAAGTGCCGAGTAAAAAAAAGGACAAGAGAGGAAACTTGTACCACGTGACTTCGTTCGCTGTGAACCGCATCACTCGGTGACGGAAGTGAATGAGACCGGAAACGCAAAAGCAACAGACCGCTGCTAGTTCGAGAAAAGATCTCAAAGATCTATGCGAAGGCAACAGAGTTTTAATTGAAGTGAAGATCTTTCAAGACTGGACATTTGTTGAACATGTCAACGGTCTTCGATGTCTTAAGCAGGTTTCGCTTGTGCAAAGGCTAGGGCTTCCCAGTAGTCGCAAAACGCACAGCCAAAGACGCAAGAGGTAACACTGTTGGGACCACCGAAGAATGGCGCAGTCGTGATGATATTACAGTTGCCTTGTACGTCCGCTCTACTCAGTGTCACGTTTTATTGCAAGAGTACACACGTATCCGTAATAATTTAACATTCTCTAAACAAAACTAACGAGCTGGGCCCAGCGTGATACAGCATTGCAGAAAAACATTACATTCACGGACCAAAGAAAATCGCTTAGTTATTCAGATCCAGAAGGCACTTTGGAGAAAATTGGAACCCTTATTCAGCCGTAATAAAAAGCTTCACGCTTCAAAAGAAGTCAAAGAATTAATGCTCTTGCATCAGAGGGCAAATCCTGCCGACCAGAAACAATAACCACAGTAAATCGATATGTGTGTCATGACCTCTCAGTGTGAAACATGCGGCTAAAATCACATTTACTCAGTGAAAATGTAGAACCTTCCAGAGCATAACCTACCCAGCAGAGGAAAAAAACTTTATTGGAACGAGCAGCATTTTTGCATGGGGTAAAAGTCGTGTAGGCTTACCATCCGCTTTTATTGCTCAGATCTTGAGCACATTTACCTTGCTACGTCATTTCCGTCACCATCTGTTGCGGTGCAAAGCGAACGAAAGCGCTCTCTCGAAGCCCTAAATTTCGGTCGCCGAAAATGAATTTAAAGGCTTTTTTATGCCGTTTTCCTACAGTATTTGGCAAATACATAAGAATTCTAGATCAGGTTAGTAAAATCAGGCGATTTCACTCAATTCCATTTGAGTTTCAGGGATCGAAAATCGGCCCCAAATTTGTTTCCTCCCTTTCCGCATTTTATACTGTAAGCCGATCTTGCCAGCCCTCAGTCTCTTGGTTTGCGGTCTATAGAATGTGTAACGAAACTGTAACGCGATCAAAATAACCCATTTTTTCAGAGGGTTTCGACGGGTTTTGATGTTCTAACGACAAACACATCTCCTCTGGACACTGTGTTAACAGGATTCGTGCCTCGGTCGCCCTTCGGGCGACGTGCCGTGCGCCAGCGAGGATATGGCTTGCGGTTATTGATTTTCAAAAGGTAAGTACGTGGTGTAAGCAGATAAGAAGCGAAGAAATCGTTTACAGTAGATTCATAAAGATCCCATTGGGCTAATTAATCGTGCTAAGCGACAGGTATAGACATTTTTCAAGGTGAGACTTTAAATCAGTATACGTAATTCATTTATTCACACGAAACTCCTCTGGACCCTGTGAGTAGTCGTGGACGGCTTTGTCACCGAATTTGCTAGCATTAACAGAGGGGTGCCGCAAGGTACTGTCCTCGGGCCCATATTGTTCTCTATTATGGTAAACGACATAAGACCGGTTTACCCGGAGCGCAATCTATTGCTCAAATATGCCGACGATCTTACACTAAGCTTACCTGTATCACTCTTTCGTTGAGGTTAACAGCATTCAACACTGGGCGGAAAGAAACCGTATGAAACTAACCTCACTAAGACCTGGGAGATGGTGGTGCATGGCAGAATTTCCAAACCACTGCCACCTCTGGTACAGGGGATTGAACGGAAAAGCTGGTTCAAATTGCTTGGCATAATTTTCCAGGAAAATCCATCGGACTTGGACCTTCATGTTGACAATTTGTTACGCAAAGCTAGTAGTCGTTTATACATTTTACGCGTTTGTAAATATTTTGGATACCCTAAAGAACAACTGACAAAATTATTTGTTTTTTTAATTATGTCCCTGTTTTGATACGGAATTGAGATTTGGAGAGCGGCATATCAAGGTAAATACCTTGATCGCATTGACAAGTTTTTTAAGCGAGCGTTCAGATTCGGATACACCAACAACCTGTAATAGCTGCAGTAATCAGAAATCGAGACTGTAAGCTATGGAACACTATCACGGATACTCCTTCCCATCCCCTTTACCAACTATTACCCCCTAAGAAACAGAGATTTTTGCGAAACAGAGGACATGATTTTATTTTACCTGCTGTTAAAACAGAACTCTTTAAGAGATCTTTTATTAATAGGTGTCTTTTTAATTTTAATTAATTGTACTTGATTTTAAAAAGATTGCATTGTCATGTATGTAAAGCCACACGTATGTTGTGACTACCCAACTATGAATAAGGACTCTTAGTAATATTATTATTATTATTATTATTATTAAATATTCGAAAGAAAATCGATATTTTATTTATTCATTCGGAATAATGAGGCCTAGGGACAGCAGGCCACCCTAGCTGCTGTGGTTCGTTCTCAAAATACCTAGGATAAGATAAGAAAGAAAAACCTCTGGCACCCGACCAGGGTAGCGCGCGGGACAGCAGCCGATCAGACGATCAGATTACCATCCCGTTTTTCATACATAAGCACTTTCTTTCCATTTACCAAAACTGAATTTTAAGAACATATGAGATAAGTCCTGACAAGTTCAGGTCAGGGAGTTTGTCTCTAACTCTGCCCATGGTTATTAAAGTGGAATGGTTATGAAGCCCAACAGACTTCTTTGTTATATGTTTTTGTGGACTTGACCGTGCACAACGTTCAATAGCATTGCTATCATTTTGAACTGACTGACCAATAGAAACATCGCATTAATTTAATCAGTCACAATTTGGGAACTAAAAACAAAGGATTGTGCCCGGTCAGGGAGCTTTCAACATAAACTACAGCAACATTGTTTTCTCTTTGATGTTTGCCGACTTTCATAACCAGTTCACTAACTATGCTCTGACCCGTCACGCGACTACTGACCGACTTGACCGGGGCCATAACAAATTAAGATTACAAATTTTCTCGTCACATGACATGCAATGCAAGTCTGTCTTAATAGGCACCAAATTCTCTCAAAAGGCATGCAAATATTTTCAAAATGGCGGTTCGCGACGATTTTCAACATTAACTTTTTTCAGCCTTTTTTCGATGGATCGGAGGAATACATCTCTTTTTCATAAATGGCCCAATCACTAGTAAACAAGTTGTGGTGATTTCCGTGACGCAAAAGGTTGCCTTGGCAAAGTGAAACTCTTTAACACGTGCCCAATTTTGGCTTTATGTGTTGAAGACTCGAAGACGAATTTGGTGAGCCCCATTTTAATTGTCAAAGTTTATTCAATATTTCGGGATTTAATTGATCACAAAAATAAAAAAACTAAGAAAACAGAAACGGATTCAGAACTGCCTGAAATGTTCGCAAAATGTTATGTTTTTGATGGTAAGACTTGCCGGTAAATTTACAACACAAGCATCTATGAACTCTTCCTCACTAACAACTCCTCTTTTATTTGCTGCCTTGTATAGTGGTTTGGTAATTTAGTCACAATGGAATGGTGGGATGACCTGTGGCTTAATGAAGGATTTGCCAGCTTTGTAGAGTATTATGGAGTCAATCATACAGAGCCTGAGTGGAAACCGGTAACTTAAGTAACGTGTAACAAATTTGGAAACCTATAGACAGGGATCGGAAAAAAAAAAGCTTAAATTAGGGCTTATCAACTCTCCCAATTTGCTTCCTCACTGGGCCACTTCTCCCTTGTCTTTATAATATTTAATGATTTTGTTAGAGGATGGCTAGCCTGAACACTTGCCCCTTGGGCAAACAAGCTTTAAAAGTAACTAGCCCAGCAAGAAAATCTAGTTGTCCGGGACTACCGGACGGGCTTTTTTCTAGCCCTGATAGTGTTAGCCATTCCACTGTAAATTGCAAGGCAAATGCCCTGGGTCGGCATAGTATGAGCCGAGTTTTCGGACTAGCCTTTTCTGTCTTCATGAAGCGGAGAGAAAAGGATCTATCTTCCTCTGTACTTTAACGCAGCCAAGTCTGATACAGTGAAACCTCGATATAACAAAGTGCCAAGGGACTGGCAAAATGTGTTCGCTATAAAGAGGTTTCGTTATATCGAAGTTCTTTTTCATATAGACTTTACCATTACTGGGGAAACGAAAATCGTTCATTACACCGAGAACTTATATAGAGGACTTGTATAGAGGACTTGTATAGAGGTTCGTTACATAGAGGTTCCACTGTACATGTATATTGGATCTTGCGGTTTTATAGCACGTTTATACGATTTTAGGTCACGTGAGTAAGTTACGTCATAACTACAAACGGCTGCCATCTAGACTGTGCATCACGAAAAAACTTAAAATGCCTAAATGGGGGAAAATTTCCCGTTGTATCCGATATAGTTGGCACTGCAAGCAGATTAGCATGTATAAAATACGAAAGGTATTAAGAATTATCTTGCAAACAGGTCAATGTGGGAAACGAACGCTTACCAGCCTCAGTTTAGACATTTACAGCCAAACTGCAACTTTATTTGTAAATTCTATTAGAAGAGGAGCCCAAAAAGCCTTCATTTTTATGACAATAAATGGAAAGCTAAAGTGTGTTCTTTTGTATGTTTCGTTCTTAGCTTGAACGGTTTGTGGTAGCTGATATGGTGTCTGCATTTTCACTCGACGGTTTGCAAAACTCTCACCCAATCAAGGTTCCCGTCAATCATCCGGATGAAATCAATGAAATATTTGACTCTATCTCATATAATAAGGTATTCCTTAAAACACATAAACAAACGTCACTGATAACTAATTAAGATATTTAATTTGTGTGGAAGCGATTGAATTACGAAGAATACGGTCTCTCTCTTTTTTTAAGTTTGTTATCGAGACTTTGCACTATAGACTTGCTTTTATGTACAAAGGCTACCCAACTCACTTTTAGATAAAAGAGGATAACTCAACATCTAATACAGTGAAAGGTTTGAACCCAGGAGTAGTTTTATAAGTAGGTTGAGGATGATCATCTGGGTGAATGTAGTCCTGAATAGGAGTGTTGTTTACAGTGATTAACCTGTGCGGTAGTCATCTTCAGAGTCAACGGGAGTTGCATCACGTCAGATGATGGTATAAAAACTCTGGTTATTGACCTGATTGGTCTCTTACGTCGCGATGTTATTGGCTATGAAGACTTGTGATGATCTAATGCTGTTCACCAAACAAATTTAATAGAAATATGCGGTGTTGATTTAATTTCATTTTTTATGTTATCTTACCTTTTAAAGTCCTATTGTATGATTGTATATAATCCAACCTTTTTTGAGTTAAATGCTAATAGAATTATTGGCTGTTTATAGGGAGCCACAGTCATTCGCATGCTTAAATTCTTCCTCGGGGAAGCTGTCTTTTTGAAAGGTCTAAATGTAAGTTGAACTGATTTGACTTCACTGGAGTGGTACTGGTATTTATGTCACCATGAAAGTTTTATTGTTTCTTTCCTGTTTAGCCTAAAACCGGAACCCTTACCCTTAATAATCGTTCAAGAACGAACTTGGCTTGTCCAAATTTTCTGAGCTCTCATAACGCAATGATGTCAATCAAATTTTACTAATTGAGTACCATTACGTCAAAAATACCTTAAATATTACAACGAAAAGTAAGGAGATGAATAGTTAATGCTTAGTTAATCATAAGTTAACAATATCTGTTCCAAAGAACGTTATTTTTGTTTCTACCAAATATTATTATTTTTTTTCTTTCCTTTTCTTTCTAGTTAGTTTTACCTTTAAAGTTAATAAATGTTTGGCCAAGCATGTGTTTCAAAAACTGGAAACGTCACCATGAACAACTATCTGTTTTAGAAAATGTTGCTGGCTAAATGTTCAGAAAAAAAATACAAAGTTTGAGCGGTTCTGTCGTAAGAATTTTAGAATTGCTGGCCTCTTGCTCATTTGGTCCGAATTGGAGATTTACTCCCTTCTATTAGATGTTACATTCACTTGGTATGTGCAACGGTGAAGGGTGTGTTTCTTAGTCTTGCAGATTTTACCCATTGTGAAATACGGTAGGAAACATAAACAGTGTAACATTTTAGCTCGGTAGACGTTAGGGTGGTAAATAAACGATTGATTGATTGATTAATCCATCGATCGAGAAATCGAGGCCGGAAGTAACACCGTGTTTCTTTGTGACGTATTCTATAGCGTTACCTCAACAAACATCTGTATGGAAATGCAGTCACAGATGACTTGTGGAAAGCTCTTGAAGAGGTAATTTCAAATCAGTTCTGGTCCCTGCTCTGAATTAGACATTAAACCTGATCCGTCAGAGAAGTTTGTATGGGAAAGTTGCCTTCACCTGAAAATTTACGTCGTCTTTAAAAATTTTTTTCGTCAAAAGAAAAACTATGTTAAACATGGATGAGTGATTTTATTCCTAGTGCAGTGTCATTACCGTGTGTATAATTTGTTCCGGCATTTCACATTGTTATAGAGAATAAAATATAGAGAGAGTATTTCCCAAACGTAGCTTTATAACCATATTATGCTGGCTTGTCCTTCAGTTTGACCAGGAGCTTCGTTTGTGTCTACTTTATGGAAGAAAAACCTCCAGAGCACCAATTTTGTTTTCAGCCCTTAAGGAAATCCAGTTAATTTAATTCACTGCAGTATCTGTTTTGTTGCGAAAGAGCTGCTTTAAGGCTTCTTTCTAATTTAGCCGTATATCAAAGAACGCACTTGAACACTCGGTACGCCACAATTTTTCTCTGTAGGAGAGTTGTGTACAGCCTGGCGGCTGTAAAAGCGTCAAGCAGATGATGGACACTTGGACGCTGCAAATGGGTTACCCTGTGTTAACATTTACGAAGAAGAGTGGAAATACATATACCGTGTCACAGGAAAGGTTTCTTTACGACCGCAACGCAAATGTAACGACAAAGTACACGAGCCCATTCAAGTAAGTTCTGAACTTAAGTATTGATATGAAATTGTTAATTGTTAATAATGATTGTATGAAATGGACTTGACTTGAAACTCTCAAATTTTAGTGGAAACCCACCAACATTAGCAGTTATTGAATGAGGCTGAGTATGATGTGAAGAATTATGCAAACCTAGGAGGATGTTATCCACCGAGCCTGAAGGCTGAGGGATTCGAACCAATCAGAGCGGTGAAATATTTTGAATGAATAATAATTACAATTACAATGGAGCCCTGTTGGTAAGAAAATCTGGTAATATCAAGAGATTTCCATTTGGTTCTTACGACCGACTGTGGCAGGCTCCCGGGGGGGTACTCCCTAATATGGGCTATATAGGTATGTGCGGCCCCAAAGGGTAGGGTTTTTCAGCCGTTTTGGTCATAAATTGGGTATCGATTTTGGCTATTTTTCCGCCATTTTGGTCATAAATAGGGTAACGATTTTTGCACTGTAGTCTTGAATGCACTTTTTTAGAAGAAGGTACTTCCTTATCATGTCCCCCTCCTTCCATCCGCGCTTTGCCTTCCTCTCCACCGGCTGCTTTGTAGGCTAGAAAATACAAGCAACAAAAGCCCTTCACAAAATAGGGTATCAAATTTTTGGTTAGGTCATAAATAGGGTAGGGAAAATCGCAGATTTTGGTCATAAATAGGGTAAGGGTTTTGGGAAGCGGGCCGCACACCCCTACCCAATTTTTCTGCAGTACCCCCCCGGGGGCACGCTTACCCAGACTGAAAAAAACGGCCATTCGTTCCTGTATACATATCATGATCAAAGACAAAGGTGTTAAAAGGGGTTTAAATTGTACCGCTCGACCTGCCTTACCCGGACTCATGTGCTCTACCGAACGAGGATTATGCAGTCTTCCCATGATTCCATGCGGCAATTTTTCGCGGTTTTTTGCGTGTAACGTGGCCATTTTGGATGCATCGTGAGCGTCATTTTTCGACCAACAATACACACTTTATTAAAGAACATACAGTTACAATTTGAATAATACCTACCCACAAATAGTCTCCAATCGAGGCATATTTTGTAATTTTTCGTTAAACACCGATACCAAAATGAATTAAACGTCTATGAAACATTTATAAATACATAAATTTCCTTTTAAAAAAGTAATTTCCCTGACCATCGAGTAAAAAATGTACCTCATGCAAAATTCTCCAAAACGTCGCTGCCTTGGTTGCATTTCAAAACAGGTCAAGCGCTCCACCGTGAAGCAAATAAGGTTGAATACCTCGAAGAACAATTTCATAATGAAAAGCTTTCCTTTGCCCACAAAAAGAAAACCGAGCTTTCTTTTGAACTTTCTCCATAACCTGTACAATGAATGGAAATCTCACGTCGTCGAGTTAATCCAAAATTCGCCTGTTGACCGGTAACATATTCTTACGCCTCTTCACCAAAGAACTGACAAAAACGAATTGGCCGAAGACCACATTCAGCCGTAAGAATTGCAGAGAAGGTACTGTAAAGTCGAACTTGGTATTCAAATCGCAAGAGTGCGGGTAAATCACGTCTGTATCTTGCCCGAAGACGGGAGCTTAATGGAGTTTTTTACTCAATGCATCCATCTTTGAAGTGATGACGTCGCAAACCAATTCGATAATATATTCTGGCGCAGTACATCATGGGAAGACTGCATAATCCTCCTTTTACACTACCATTGAGTCAACTTATTTCTTTGTGGTTATCCGCTGAACAGTTGTCACGTTTCTTGGATCGTGGGCTTAATTGCGATGGTTGAACATTGAGTTGTTTCAACGTAAATGGTTAGTATTTAACAGGAGCTTCGCTACTAGGCTGAGCTAAATTTATAACTGTAAAGTGAAAAGGCATTGGCGTCCAAAAAGCCGACATTCTGAGCATGTTGAACTAGTCACCACTAACATGAGTGAATTATCATGTCGGGAATGTTTTGGTGACCTGTTTAATGCGTTTGGAATCGCAGGATTTGGATTGAAATTAGTTCTTGGCTTTGACCCGTTTCTCGAAATTCCCGGTAACTTCTTTCGGGCCAAAAGCCAAATATTAAAATCCATCAAACCAGTCCATAGGTAAGTGATACTGTTATCACATTTTCAGCAAAACTAAATTTGCGCTTAATTTTTCCCCAATCGCCGATATTTCTCTAGTTCTCGAGTATGTTTACTTTACTTAGCTTTAATCAATAGGCCTCATGTCTTTTTTTTATCATTTTATTTTAGCTACACATGGGTTGTACCGTTTACATACATAACCCAGGCTAACAATCAGACTATTTCCAAGCCGCTAAATAAAACTTCAGGTAGGAACTAAACGATGTCATAATCAACGCGTGTCTTTGTATTGCAATTTGCTGTAGTTATTATTTGTTGTTGTTGTTGTTGCTCCATTCTTGGATACATCGTTTACATCATTCAATTGCCAATCTCCCTTAAAAACGTTTTTTAGCGTAGTTAACGCATTATCCTCCTACTTAGGAAATATTTATAATCATACGGCTGATTTCTTCCCCTCTAGTACAGGCCTTTAAGTAACTACGAAGACTCTTCCCCGAAAATGGCACGTGCACCACTACTCGATACGATAATCATACGGCTGATTTCTTCCCCTCTAGTACAGGCCTTTAAGTAACTACGAAGACTTTCCTCTCACAGGTCTTCCCCAAAAATGACACGTGCACCACTACTCGATACGATAATCATACGGCTGATTTCTTCCCCTCTGGTACAGGCCTTTAAGTAACTACGAAGACTTTCCTCTCACAGGTCTTCCCCGAAAATGACACGTGCACCACTACTCGATAGTGTGTTCATTGAGTTCATTCTGGTGAATAAGAATTAGTGAATAAGACTCATTTTGAAAGATATGTCACTCATTCAGGGGCATGCACGCGTCCCTTGTTTGCAGCTGAGTTTTCTGTTGAAGCACTTCTATCACTAACTTTTCAAAGCAATATACGATTCAAGGTTTCTTTTATTTTTGTACGACCGTTGAGATAGAATGCTTACTGTAACGGGCGCCATCCTAGTTTATAGTTTTAAATGTACCTAGGACGCTGGGGCATATACCGGTGGATTTGATTCCCCTCCTCAGGTTACACTCAGTATATATGAAACCAAGATGGTACGTGAGATCAGGCCCAATTTGTGCAGCTTTCATATTTACCAAGCAAAAGGATGATAGAGCTTGATCTCAGGTTACCAAGATGGCCGCCCGACTGACAGTAAACGCTGGTATTTGACTATCTAAACAGGACAACCCAAAAATTACGTGCATGCATCCAGAAATTTTTTAAAACTTAGGTCAACATTTGCGGTGATTAAAGTGTTACAATATGCCAGTATGCTGCTATGTACATCCTTTCTGTTTGTTTGTTACATTTTTGTTTGAAGACGAGCTAGGCGCAATTTGCAAAGCAATCAGATTCATCCTTGGGTGTGGTGCTTATACAATGAAACATTTATTCAGCCGACATCGATAAGGCATTCGTTGGTGCCCGCTAATAGAGATGTCCCCTAAATAATGGTTCATTTTGCAGAAAATATGGGAATAAACTTTTAAAACAAACTGAGCCATTCGTCTGCTCAACACAGGGTGTCCGCTAAATGTGTCGTCAGCAGGTTTTAGTGTATACAGTAAGTGAAACTCTCCACTTTTTTCGGAGGAGTCAAGGTAGAGTCAACTCTCTTTTAACAGGCACCACGCTAAAACTGACACGTAGATTTGGTCCCTGCCTTTCGTTTCTCCTCTTTAGTTGGTTTTCAATAAGACGGACATCTCTCTAAGACGAACACGTGGTGTTGGTCCGAAAGGTTTTCGAGAGAGTTGACTATACATTTGTTAGAAAGTTTAACACCTGGACTGGACTCATGCAGTAACTTTCTCACGCGTGCATTAATGTGTGTTTTTTGTAGTTGAAATCAGCTGGGATGGAAGTGGCTGGCTCAAGGGAAATGTTGGTCAAACTGGATTTTACAGAATCAATTATCCTCAACAGCAATGGAAGCAGCTAACTGGCCAAATGAACATAAACCATCTGGTGGGTATTAATGACCCAAGACTTTAATAGGAATAAGGGTTTAAAGAGCTGATTTATTTTCTTTTAAAATGTTCAATGTTGTTCATGAGACGGAAAAGAAATGTACAAAAAGTGTAATTGAAGTGCACATTGAGCTTGGTGTTAAGAGTATAAACCCATAGCTTTTTAACTAGCCTGAGAAAACAGCCGTCATTTCGCGAAGCCACCAACGTTTTCCCCACGAAATGACGTCTGAGAAAAGACGGCAGAAATTCCATACTGATGATGCGTCACTATCCGGGTCTGGATAGTGCTTCAGATCATAGACTATTGGATTGGTCTTGCCGGATGGGATATTTGCTTTAACCAATCAGAAGCACTACCCAGGTCTGGGAAGTGGCACGTTATCAGAACGGAATTTCTGCGCTCGTTTCTCAGACGTCATTTCGCGCGAAAACCAGTGGTGGAGTTGCGAAATGTCGGCTTTTTTCTCAGGCTACTCTTTATCTTTGTTGCTACCGTCGTCTTTGTCGTTTAAAGCCCTGTCCTCACTTGGGACGTAAGACGCAAGTACTTGCGACGCCCTTTGGTTTAAGTAGGGACTTTTTTGGGTTTTCAAAACAATCTGAAGTTCGTTGGTGTTGCCGGGGTATCCCGGCCCCAAACACAAACATTCCATATCTAACTTCAGTTTTCGTGTTATATCATTTACTGCTCTCTGGAAATTGGTCCAGGGATTTTTTGAGGTTTTGTTGGAAGCCCTAGGGATTTTTTGGGGGTTTTGATTTTTGCAACCGTTCAATCATCCCCGACACTTGAAATCCAGAGTACCCCCTGCGACTAGGCTTTGGTGGGACAGCGCACGTGTATGTTTATATTACGTCAATGATAATGATAATGATGGAGCTAGGTTTTACTCCAAGTCTAATGCCAATAATAGTATTGTAAATTATGCTGTTCTTCTGTTTATATCAACGTTGACCGTGCCAAAGGTGAATGATTTTGTAAAACTGATTTGCAGGAATTCCAAGTAACAGACCGTGCTGGGATGTTAGATGATGCTTTTAACCTAGCCAGGTATATCTAGACGAATTCTGCTATAACAAATTGCTCAAATCTGATTGGTTCCTCTGCATCCCTTTCTAATTCTTAATTTTGTTGTTGAATCACCACCACTGTCCGATTTTAGTTTGCTTCTGACCAGTTAGGTCAAGCCAATGAAGAGTAAAAGCGCGAGCCAGTAAACAAGAGTTCTTTTGTTGCCTTCAATATATATTTAGTTTCGCGTTACCCTAGAAGAGTAACTATTCTGCCTTTTTTTCCTATATTTGTATATTTTTGTGTTATTTTGTATTCAGTTTAAAAAAGAGTAATGTGCAATCTGTATATCTGGTACATTTCGTACTTCACTTTTAAAAATAAGAGGTTTATTTTGTTTCGCATTATTAATACTAAACATGATCATACTTATCATAATCCCTCCTTGTAATCGTCGCTTTTATTTTTCTTTTCCATCATAATGACTGATTCGGTAGTAAATGGCTACTAAACCTAGTGTATTGTGTTCATCTAGAGCTGGATACATCAAGTATACTGTTCCGCTAAACTTAACGAAGTACATGTCAAAAGAAGATGAATATGTACCTCTGGCTGCAGTAGCTTCTGGGATGGACTATGTAAGCGGCATTGTACCGCAGTCAAGCCCGGCATCTAAGTACCTAGAGGTTAGTTCACATGCCAACGCTTTAGTTCTCTCCCCAGTTAACTGTCAGTTGTCAGGGGCACCCAGCAACTGTTTTCTGTTTTCAGATACAAATTTTTTAGCGCTCCTTAAAATGTAATTTCTAGATATCTTAAAGTATTCTGGACAGCCTAAAAAGTATTTCAATGTATTTAGGAGGAAACCGTCGTTGGGTGCCCCCGAGTTGTAAAGGCCATTTAAACGACTGTGCCACACCTGTCTAGTTCCGTTTTTTAGTATTGCCTATTACGCAGTCCTTAATTCTCTATGGAACTCAACGTTAGTGCAGAAATTACGGGTAAATAACAAAACCACAGCTTCGTGTCAAACGAAAGTGTCTCCCAAGCATTATACGTTACAAACATTCATATTCCATTCAGCTTGATGGCAGTTCCTACTGTTTGTACTTTGATGCATTTGGTGACACAGCTCCTTTAAATAGATCCAACGTGTATTGCTGGGTGGTGATGGATCCGTTAAAATTGGCCCAAAGGTGAAACCGTACCCACAGGTCAATTAATTCAGTCTACACAGTGTTAATTTTTAATCCCTGACACCTGCCGAACACTTTGTCTCTACCCGGCTAATTTGTTGCTACCCTGGTCACTTTCTATTGTGGCCCCTACAAAACCAGTGTATTTCGTTATTCATATTTGTTTAAAAGAAGCAAAAGTATAAAACATTATTACACTCACAAAGAAATCGGAGGCTGCAGGTAGTCCATCTCGCTTAAAAAAGTATAAATCGGTTAGTTCTTCTCGCAGTGCATGGAAAATAAGCCAAACCGGTGACGTTTTCTGCGAGAACCCGGTGAGAACTCTGGGTCTGTTCCAGATAGGTGTTTAATTCATTCAAACTGTTCTAAAGTCGTCCAAAATATTTCAACAGGTTTTCAAACTAATCGAACGTGTTACGTCCAAATTTTGTAGGATGAAGCTGGACCAACATGTACCAAATCTTCGAGCAAACTCATCGGCAACACTTGAAACCTAAGTTATTCCAATGAAAAATTATGTGCACCGAAATAGTTTTCAAGCAGAAACCTTTTCAAGAACCTCATTGCGATTCAATCAGTTTTTCAGGTGTTACAAGAGCGAATAATATTCACATTGTCAAACAGTTCTTTACTTCGTAAGTTAGTCAGATCAAGAGCCATAATAGTCTCATTGTAGCTCTTGCTCAGATATAGAAGGATTTATTATCCGTACTGACACCAAAAACCAAAAGCACTCGTAAAATTTACACACGTTTAGCCAATTTTCTTATAGAATGTGTTTATAAAAAGTTTTATTTTAATATTTGTTTTAGAAATATCTTCAACACCAACTGATGAACCAGTACAAAAAACTTGGGTTTAACGACACTGGAAGCCACCTTGAAAAGCAAGTGATTCTTAGCTATATATCTTTTTTGTTTTTCTGCTACAGTATACCCTTTTATCATACTTCACTTTCTTTTGATCTAATGCTGAAACTGTTGCATCAGTGGACAAAATCCTATGGTTTTCATGAAGTATGAAGTGAAACCTCGTTGGCAGAACTTGTACATAGTGCTTTTTAAATCTAAGGATTCTACCAATTGAAAATATGTTGTAGTTAATTTGTTATGACAGAAGATTTTTGTTTCTCCTTTGTTTTTGGGTATGGAAACGTATGCTAATGAAGTCAAAACAAAGTAAAAATAAAAATTAACTACAATATCTTTATCAATTATTCCTCGAGCCCGAATGGGCTCTGAGTCAATAGGGGAAAGGAATAATTGTTTTTTAGTGAAATCCAACTAGTTGGTCCAAAATATCGAGACAAAACAACTTTAGCTAGCAAAGGCGATTCAGCCGCCATTGTTTTGGTTTTCAAAGTCGGCGCTTTTCGCTACTAGTGGGCTGTTACATATATCCTAGTAGTAGCTCAACCAATCAGAACGCAGCATTGATGATAGACCACTAGTTGGATTTTAATAGTTATTATAATTTTGGAAAATTGTACTATGTCTACTGTCAGGAGAAAAAGGATTACTGTCAACTCACGCCTTGCAGACACCTCGTTATAATATGGACAGCGACTTAATCCCCGGCAAAAACATTACAGACGTTTGACTGAAATAAACTCCCGCTCTTACGGACTCTCGCTAATGAGAGCACTAACTCGAGGTCCCTACGGTGTCCGCAATAAAGGGAGTTGAGTCTAATCAGCTGACAATGTGTTTTTCTTACAGATATAAGAGAAACTTGGTTTTAAGTGCAATGTGCTCTGCAGGAGAACCTTCCTGCCTCACAAACGCATCGACCTACTTTAAGAAATGGATGGCAGATCCCGTTCAGAATCCGTAAGTAAATCAAATAGACGCCACGCGGGATAAACGGGCAAAATGATCATTTTGTCCAGAAGATGTTTTAAGCAAATATTTCAGTTGAAAGGATCTTGCTCAATACATTAAATCGATTTGCGGAAAGATATTCATGCATCTGATTTGGGAAAATTGCGCAGGGGACCAAATAGTTTTATGTTGCACAATCCAATCTCAGGCGATGGTCCTGGCACGAGGTAGAACGTTAGTAGTGTCTTCTTAGCGGATTTGTGAAACATTAAATGTCGTTTATTGAAAAAAAAAGGCATGCTTGGGAATAGGGGTTGATCCGGGGTTTTACCTGTACCAGGGTGCCCGTTTGGCCGGATTTCTAGTCCAACCTTGCAGATTTACCAAACTTATAGTTGGTTATTTTCTACCTTTCATCGACAAAATAATTTATGCTGTGTGTTTTCTTCCACTTGAGTTTGTAAAAGCAAATTGCGCCAGGCTTGACTGTACAAGACGAGAAGGAAGCAGTATTAATGGACGTTTCTCAGCGTTAATTTCTGAGCTGAACACCTACGAGGGAAAAAGAAGCTAGTCAGAGTCTCAGTTGATCTGTGGTAGACTGATACACATTGCACTTAATCGTAATCATTATAATCATCGTATTTGGTGGAGAACCCGGGCCTAAGAATAAAATATTGTTTCGATCCGCGAACCTGATGGATCATTCAGCCTTATTACCCCTCTAAACAGTTCCTTTACGGCGGCGCTCTGAACATTTGACACTTGAACTACATTGATATTTTTTCTGTGTATATCATACTTTTAGCGTTCCAGCTAACTTCCGTTCGTTAGTCTACTTTTATGGAATAAAGAATGGTGGAGTGAAGGAGTGGGATTTTGCCTTTGGACAATTCCAGAACACAACAGTTGCAAGTGAAAGAAGAAAGATTTTGTATGGTTTGTCGGGCGTTAGTGAACCTTGGATCATACGCAGGTACGGCATTAATTATCCTAAGATTTAGAATCCAATAACTCTATAGAATCCTAAAAGTGTGACGTCATAAGATATTTAATTTGTGAAACTATGGGATTTGTCAGAATATTCTGAAAGAAAAACATCCAAATGGTCTACTTACCAAAAACTAGTATTTCGGGGCAAACTGTCTCTGAGATACCAGCCGTGTTTTGCTCTGATTAGTCCATACAAATTCCTCTAAATTTGCCTTAGTTCAAAGATCGAAAAATGCCTACTTGGCAAAAACTAGGCTAAGCATTTCGGGGGAAATTATACAAATCCTTCTAAATTTGATTCGGTTCAAAATTGTAGTTTTTGGCAAGTAGGCCTTTTCGATTTTGTTCTTTCAGAACATTCCGACAAACCCCCATAATTTCCCAAATTTAATTTATATGACGTCATCACTTTAGAAGAATATTTCACTGAACGCGACTTCATGTGCTTAATTTGTCGCTCTGCCATTGGCCAATTTGGTTTTCAGATCTGCGCGCGCTGTCTTCACCCGTTTACTCGGGTATATTTATCATGAATGGGTGGTCGCGTTTACCTAACCATAACAAACCTTTTCAGGTTATAACTGAATTCTGCAAATTGTTATCCATCTGGTATCCAATGTATTGATGCATTGTTAGTTGACTTGTATAATCTCTCCTCAGCTATGCCTGATGCAAATATGTTGTGAAATAGCTTCAATTTATTCTTTTTAAAGATATCTGCAATATTCCATTGATCCTACCAAGATAAAGATGCAGGATACTGCAAGAGTTATAGCGTACTTGTCAATCTATAACCCTTTAGGGCGACAGTTAGCGTGGCAGTTTGTTAAACTTAACTGGGACCATATTCTGGAAAAGTAAGTGTGTGTCACTTCTAATTATAGACTCTACTTTTGCTCGACTTTTGATTTTTAAAAAAAAAGGCTGCATTTCCAAGCTGCGTTTATCCAAGATATCTTTCTATTATAAGAGATTACTGCAACGTTGTATATCTAAACATTTGCTTTCGTACATTTATATTTATTTACAGTTTTACATCTTATACGGTCGTGCCATACATGTCCAGCCTCAAATGTCCAAGCATTCGTGTCTCTTGTGTTTCTTTGTTTGCCTTAATTATAAGCAGTTTAGCAGGCAAATAGATCTGTATTGAAGATATTGAAGCAGGTGTGAGGAGGCTTCTATAATATGTGTTCATATTAGAGAGCTTTAGATTCTAGAACGACTACGAGAACGAAATTTTCTCAATACTAAGTAGTGCTCGCGCGTGAGGCAGCGTCATTTTGGCGGGAAAACGTGGTAGCCGTCTTCATTCTACTACGCGTTTTAGCGAGAGTGACGTAGTGGGGGGAACAAGTTATCAAATGTGAGAAGTTTTAGCATTTTGGAATCGGGAGAGGTCTTAACTGTCCTTCAATAACGATAACAGTGCGTATACTACTACATGAGAAATTTCTGCAATTTGATTGGCTCAGAGCAGTGGTATTTAAGCTTAATTTGAAATACCTTTTGCGGGTAGTAGTATAAACAAATAATAGCATGATTTGGACGTGATATTTGGCATGAATACCACTCGTGATATTTCAAAATTGTCTTAAATTTCACTCACCTAACGGCTCGTGAAATTACGTATAACAATTTCGAAATATCGCTCATGGTATTTATACCAAACATCACTACAAATCATGCTATTACCTATACTAACTTTTCTGGTGAAAAAAAGTACTATGAAGTATTCCGGGGTGTCCATTTTTTAACAATACGGCGAAAAACCTTTCAATCAAATCTCGTACTCGTAGTCGTTCTCGGGTCTCTATTGACATGTGTAAGCGACTAATTATAAGTGGAACCCAAGATGTGAAATCTAGCCTGAATTTCATCCGATTGCTTCGAGTCGCTTTCTCCTCTCAGCAACATGCATATGGAGTTCGGATGAAATTCAGGCTATGTGAAATCTTGTTTAAACAGATTTTCATTAACCCTTAGGTTTGGTGGAGGATTTTTCGCTATCAGAACTGTAATTTCAAGCGTGACAGGAGGAATGTCGACTGAATTCGAACTTCAAGATGTAAGTCAGCAATCATATTTGACTTAAAGACTTGTTTAAAAAAAATACAATGATATCTCTATAAAGCGACCACCCTTTGGGAAGGGGAATTGGTCGCTTAGAACATGCTGGTCACTTAACAGAGCTTGTGTTTTCCAGCACTTTTGTGATAGATCTATCCTTCTGGGCTTTGGCAACTGGCCGCTAAATAGAGGTTCGACTAAGCATCTAGTTTAGTTATCTGAGCCTTTTTTTTTAATCTAAGAGCCAGAAAGATGCCACCAGTTTGATCAAGCTTACATAGTTTGGATTTAAAGCCCTTAATTACTTCCATTATCCGTCTTTCCCTTCCTATTTCTCAATGATTGTTTAGAAATCAGATGAAAACGTACTCCTCACTTGTGCATCCTTGATTTGTTCATCTAAAATCGTTTTGTTTGAGAAGTAATATCAAACATTCGACTCAGTTTTTCATCACGGTGATGTCTTCTCTGGATTTATTTCTTCATCCCGCAGTTCAAATCTATGAAATTCATATATTCATTTTTTCGTCTTCATCTTCCCCAGTTATACTACGAACCAGCCTAGTCCCTAGGCGTTTTCGGCTCGGTCAATCCTGGACTCTACCGTGAGCTGTGACGTCACCGAGAGATACTCTTTCCCAGACTTCGCGCGGACAACGGGGCAAGAGAGAACGCCTAGGGACTAGGCTGACTACGAACCAATTTAATGACCAACTCCCAGTTGACTTGCTAGCTCACGTGGTTAGAGCGCTGAAACGGTATTTCAGAGGTCAATGCGGGTTCGAATCGCGTAACTATAAGCCTGATTTTATTCGCTTTCTAGTTCAACTGCATAAGTTGCGTTTTTAAATGTGATGATATTCCTCTGCATTTAATATCAAACTCCTCGAGGTTCGTCAAAAATACTCCGCTGCTGAGCGCTGTATTTTCAACTCTCTTCTTAGTGTCTGACATCTTGATAAAACACTGTGACTCGTTTGAGACAGTACTTCTGCACTGCTCACTTTTTTTAAGGCCACTTCCTCTTTTATTGACGAAAGTTAATTTAGCTGGATGAATACCTTGCTAAGAAGAGCAGCGTTAAAATGTCATGAATTTGTCATATACTTAGTCTATAATTCCTTTCGTCTTTCTAGTTGAAAAGCTTCAACGAAAAACACGCTGGCGGTTCTGGAGCGCGGGCCCAACAGCAGGCAGAGGAAAGAGTGTTGGCAAACATTCAATGGCGCCAGCAACATGAGCAGGATGTTGCAAACTGGCTGAAGGATTTCCTTGTGTCGAACAAGATACCACTGAATTAACGGGGTTTTTTTGTTGTTTTCCTTCATTTTTCCTGCAAGCCTGTAGAAGATAGCTTGAATCTGGCAAAATACCACTAAACCAAGTATTATTAATTTGTTTATAAGTGAGGCATTTTCCGTTAAACAGTTTTGTACGTTGTGTGTGACAAGCGTTTTCAAACCTACAACACGTTAAAGAGCACAAAAGTTTAAGCGATATTGCAACCGTTTTAAGTTTCAAGTTCACTTGTCGCAGTGTTGCCTTTATGATGTAGCTTTTTTTTCAGGTGTAGTAACTGCAAAAGGTCTGTTTTGCCAGGAGGAAATGCGTTTTTAGTCTTGCTTGATGTTCACGTTTCAGTTGCCCTTTTCATTGCTATGATATATATATATTTTAAAATTTTATCTTTATTTTTTGTCACCTCCTTTTTAGAGCCAGACTGTGACACAATTTAAAGAGTAGAGACACAGGGAAACTTAACCAAATAAAGATCATGTCTTTGACTTCATTAGTAGCAACGTTATCTTTCACGTCGGTCCTTGTCTTGTAAATCGTTAGTTAATGCTCCCAACCAATAACCCTTTAGATAGAAGCAAATAACTAGTCCAGAATTATTGTGGGGAAAAGGGGTAAGGGATGAAGTACTCCAAATATGAACAGCAGGGCACTTATCTCTACATATTGGTGTAAAAATCCAAAATCTACAAGGGGAGAGGTGATAATCCTCTTTAAGGGGTGACAATCCCCCAGGATAGTGAGAGCTGATAACCCCCCAAGGTTGTGAGTGGAGGTGATAATGCCCCTTGGGTACTGGAGAGGTGGAAAGACCTCTCTAGATGTCTAATTCCCCGGTTTAAGGAGTAAAAAGAGTCTATGGGGCAAAGGGTGACCTGTATGGGAGCACTTCACCCCCACAAATACCCTCAAGACGCCACCACCCTAGATTTTGTCCCTTCTCAGCGCAATAAACGACGTAATGTCGATAGGCTATCCTCCTCAGTGGCTCGAAGCCTGGAACGTCTTCCTATATATGTTCAGTTTTATCGCTTTACGCACACCCCGCCCCAGACCTCCTTGCCTATATATCGGCCCCAAATTTGCAAGTTTAGTAGAAAGCTTAAAGAATCATCCTGGCTTATGCTTGATACAGCCTTTCGCTACATGGCTGCCTCCAATGTTTCAATGGCATAGGGCAAAGTTAACGAACAACTCTACAACGATATTTTGAGACTTTCCCCTACTGCAACTGCTTCCATTGCCACGCCTATGACGGTTGAAGTCACGACACCCAGATGGCTGCTTGTTGGGGATCCTCGGGGCGTGATGGAAGGTTGGGGGCAGTGGAAGGGGAGCCATAGGTGTTGGAGAAGGTAGTGGCGGAGGAAGCTGTGGAGGGACCAAAAGGCTGAGGAGGCCATAGTACGATTGTAGGACCTGCTGCTGCCCAAACTGACAATTTAAGCACATCTGCAACAAACCAGATTGCGGAGCGAGGAAACTACCCTGGCTTCCAGTGCCCGAAAGTACCTCAGCTGTAATCTTCCTGGGGAAATACCTTAAAGTAAGTTGGATAGGTGCTGTTTCCTCTTGGGGGTTAAGAAGTCTTAGTTATAGCTCCATTAGTTGACGGACTTGTCTTAACTTGGCAGCATGATATTCTTGAGGAGCCATCTCTTTCGTTCGCTTCTGAATAAGCTGTCGTGGCAGTATCTGAAAGGTTTGATTGTCCTTGCTCACTGCTCTCAGACCCCTCTTCAGGGGAATACAGCTTGGGATGTTCGAGGTCCTGCACAACCAAAAATACAACTTGGAAAAAGGTTTTCCAAGTTCTTCTTCATATTTGTTTAGGGTGAAAGGTACTGAACTTCCAGGCAGGGTCTGGACAATGGTCTTGCCTGGATACAGAAGAATCTAATCCAGATGTTGATCAAACTGTTTGTAGTGCCTTGAATGTTTATCTTGAGCTCCCTTCAGGAGTACTTCTGCGGAGAATATTCCATTCGACCGTAAAAAAGGAACTGGCAAAAACTTAACCTCCACCCCTCACCCACCTTCCCACATCTTGAGTGATTGCTCATGGTCCGCCGCCAAATTTTCCCCCGAATTTGCACAAGTGAGCCTGCGTGCTGGCAGGCTACAGAAAAGACTCTCAGCTAGAGAAAAAAAAGGCAGAAAAGATATAATAAATTGTGTACAAAATAATATCCAGCTTTCCTAAACATAAAATACTTACTCAACAACATTAAAACTACATTACAACATTATATATAGAGTAAAAATGAATCACGATCGCTGGACATACTACAGTATACTGGATACGACAGGCTTCAGTACACCTGTCATGTACGCTTAAAAAGATCAGATGGCTGACCCAGGCGTCTCGCAAGTCTCGTTCACTAAGTAAGTTCAGACGGCTGTAGTGTCCGCTTCTTGTTGTTATAAACTGGGAGGGCTAGAATGAAATATGGAAGAGGTTCCTCTTAAGCAAGATACCGAGATCCCGCAAGTGAAGGATGAAGACAAAAAAAGCAGCAGCCCAACGTCGAGTAGTTTCTACAACAAGCGCACCTTTATTATAGCTGCCATTGTTATATTGGTGTTACTGATCTTGGTCATTGTATTGGGAGCACTTCTTGGAGCTGAACGAGCGGAGCGCGCCCGTAAAGGTATGGCTTTTAGGTGATCTGGTGGTCTACTTTTGTTTAGTTAGATGTGTAGCTTTAGATCCAGGCAGCCTCGGTTAAACGAATTCGTCTTCACACTACTGCTAGTTGTAAAAGGATTTGCTAGTGGCCTTCAATTTGTGTTTCAGACATTCGACTCTGCTGACTCTACTGCAAAGGTGTTTTCGACATAGTAGAGAAGGCAGAGAAACTCAAGAAAGCAACAGTTACAGGTGTTGCGGCTGTTTTGCTAATCATATGTCTCAAATTAAGCGTTTTTGCACAACATTCGTCCGGAGAATGTAAATTTGGAATTAGCTGTAGCGCTGATGAATAACAGTAATTTAAGCTTTTGAAGGTCTTATCTACATAACTATGCGAGAAGCTGAAAAGCAAACAACCAAGCAAGTAAGTAAACTACCCTTGTGAACAAGAATAAAAAATGATGGAGATATCGACAAACAAGTTGACCAACAAATCTAAACAATTTGTATGGTTGATACGGCGATGTTCACTAAGGGCGCGGGAATTTGATGGCTAGTACAGTGATTGTCATATTTTTGTTGGGGGACCGAGAGGGGGCGAATTTGATCACCAATAATGACCCGCGGGGTTGAATTTTTAAAAACCTAAATCAATTGAAGTTTGAATGACCGGTTCATGACCTCATATCAATTAGTCAATCACCAAGAAAATCAATCTTGTTTACAGATAGTCACACTCGTCACGCGACATACATACATAATCTTTATTTAAACACGATAATTTTTAGAGCTTGTGGGGTCGTGTGTTTAAGAATTGAACTAAAACATCCAGGATGAAATTTGTTCGTACTCTAAGTATACAAAAGCAAGGGTCACCCAATGGCGGTTCCTCCTAAATACAGGGAAAACTCTTTTTAGGCTATCCAGAGATCTCTTGAAATGCATTCTAAGCGGCGCTATAAAATTTGTACCTGTTCGGTCACCCAGTAGGCCGGGAAGTTGAATCTTTTCGAAATTACAAGGGCTTCAGTATTATTTTTCCTGAAAATTTAACAGGCAATTTATCTAATTACGAAAGTGAGAATTTTTTCTAAGTTTTTTTTTAAAGTTTCCTTTTCTGTACGAAAAATAGTCTAACCTGGGCAAGGAAAAGAGGAAAAATCCAACTTCAGAAAATCGTAGGGAATTTATTAGTTAAGCTTCCAAAATTCTACATGAATGTAAAGGTCATCTAGAAACTTTTACTGAGCGGTCCCCAAGTAATAGAAAATTCTAGGATTTATTTGCTTCTCTGAACAGATATTCTACAGAAAACATTCGTTGGGTGCCCCTAAGCAATGATTATCGCGTGAATTTGCTGTACTGCAATTATCAATAAATGGCTAATAAACAAGACGGCGTCCATTTTGTCCCTTGCCCTAAAAAGGGTAACAGAATGATTGAGGACTTTTTCCTAAACAGAGTATGTATTTTAGGATTTTTTTTGTCCTAACCATGGCCAGGTTTTCAAACGCTCAGCGGCTCACCTTTTACCCAAATATTGGTCCAGTACCCCCTTTCCCGGAGAAGAAAAGCTCCTAAAATCCCCAGGGGTGGTACTCCCTTATATAAGCCATATAGGCCCCCCTAGGCTAAAATCGTGGAATCGATAGCTTGGCGCAATTTCAGTCAAGTGAACGAACGTCCATCGATTTATGTTTTGTGTCCATAGTCATTGTGTCAGTCAGACGTTTCTCATGACAACAGTGTCATAAACTGTCCTTTTAATCCTCGATCCATACCCTCAGTTCACCATTCAAGTAAAACCTCTTCCGAGAAATACTTGCATCGAACTGACTCGAACCAAAATCGATTTCCCCTGGATTTCCTTCGTTCATTTACTGTAATTTTACCCCAGTAACTCTTACCCTCGATAAACTCGAACCTCCCGCTAACTGGAAGTAATTTTTGTTTCCCCCCAGATCATTTCTATACAATTTTACCCTCGATTACTCGAACCATGCAGTTTTAAGCGCGTGACAAGTCGAAAAAAAACGCAATGAATTGCTGTCCGAAATTTTGTTTCTTTTCTCTCAAAACAACCGTGTATTCTTTGTCTTTAAGCTTCTTTACTTTTTTGTCCGTCCAATTCAAATACAATGTTTAGTACTGCACTGCACTAATCAAGCTTTGTTGCTTTTAAAATGTCTTTTTTCAAAATGTATTAATATGTCTCTCTTGCTGCCCTTGAAGTGACGAGTGCATGATACTTGCTTTGGCTCCCCCATTCCATTTCCTTACTTCTGTTTATTTGCTTCGAACTCCCGATAACTCGAACTGTTTTTGATTACCCTTGAAAGTTCGAGTTATCGAGAGTCGACTAATTTATAGTCTTAAATGTCATACGTCTCCACCCTCTAACCCGTGGGGGGCGCGGGGGAGAGAGACTGATATTATTAGCTCCCCCGTGCCCCCGACGGGTTATAGGGGTAGGGACGTACGACATTTCAAAGTGTCCACGTGCACGTGTGGTACGCAGACTGCGAACAAAATGTTTATTCAAACTTAACAAACGGGCTGTTTTAGTGATTTATTTTTAAATAGGGAAATCTTTAGAAATTTCAACCAAATTTAATACCAAAACTCTTTGTAAGGTTTTTTGTTTCACCTCAAAAATGCTTGAAAACATTGCAGCTCATAAACAGAATTGAAGTGTGGAATGTAACCATAATTACCATAATTACATATCTTGCTTAATTGGAACTCATGCCTTAGTCGGAACACCTTCGGAAAACTCAAAACTTGACTTTTCCCACAATTTTGTGTCCAAGAATTCAGCACCGATACAAAACATCACGAGCTGGTACCGCAGAGGGGTAAACTTGGTAGACTGTGGTGTGTTATGTACTGAGCGGAATTCTGAAAGAGCGCTTTTATGAAAAGATATTTAGCAATTAATGAATTTGGCTTTCGAAGGATATGAAGAATAGTCCAGTTTCGAATTAAAAATTACCTCTGAATACAAACATTAACGACACATTCATACCGGGTTAGCCTCGACGTAAAGTAAAATATTCAGAAACTCTGGCAAGTAAGTGTTTGAAATTTGAATATACACAATAGACAGAGTAAAAAACAGATCTTTTTCTCGTTGGAATTTGTGAATATATTACTTCAGATGGAGGCTAAGGCTGTAAAAAATGCGTCTTCACTTCTTTAATTCAGCGGTCATAGCGAACTCGAAAATGGACTTTTAAGCAGATCGAGGAGAGTGTTATCCACAGAGGCTAAAACTAAAAACGAGCTAAAACCGTTTTAAAAGATGTAGCAGAAGCAAAATTTTGCCTTATGAATTTATTCATAGTAGGTGCCCCACCGGGCCTTAAAGTGTTTCAAATTGCCTCAATCATATTTTAAAAAAAAACGGCATTCCTCGAAACTGTTAAAAAATCTTCAACGACATTAATTTTTTACAGGGCGTAGAGGAAGAGGAGATGGCCGTAAAGAGTCTGCTGTTGTAGCAACTTCTGCTCCTGCTCCTACCACTCCTGGTACTGAAGTGTGGTGGAATGTTCGTCTCCCAGACAACATTGTCCCTGATCACTATGACGTGGTTCTTTATATTGATCTCAAGAAGCTGGTGTTCTTTGGAGATGTATCAATTCTGGTGAACGTAACAAAGTCAACTGAGAATGTACTAGTTCACGTCAATAAGATGAATATAACGCAGTCTCCAACTGTGGAGAAGGCTTCAAGCGGAGGTAAATTGAAAGTTTTTTTTTACTGTCTCTGATTGCATGTTCCTGATAATGATTGAAATGATATGTCTTGGTTGCCCTTTTTTCAAGATAGAATAATGCAACATATAAATTCCCCTTGCAAGTCCTATTTCTGGCATCCATACTTTTTAACTATTAAATGGAGAGAAACCTAGTCTTTTCCTTATGTGAAAACCCAAACGAAGAACGTTAAGGAAGACGAGGCTTTTGCCAAGTTGCTTTCTCTTCTCTTTTTATTCCAGAGGACATATCGTGGCAATTGGTCATTAATTAACAATTAATGAATGAGGCTGAGTATCTTACGAAGAATTATGGAGATTGAGGAGGGTGTTACGGCCTTGACGGATAACACCCTCCGAGATCTCCATAATTCTTCATATGATACGAAAGCCGAATTCAATAATTGTTTTATTATTCATTCAAAATAATCCTAGTTTAAAAACATGGCTAGCACATGCTTACGTCCATCAATCCATCGATGTTAAGTTCATCTTCGATAGTGGACGTTTAGGGTTGTTCAGCTCCGCAAATATTCCCCAAATAGCAGATGTCGCCGTTCGAGTTGTCTTCTTGCTGTTCTTGCCATGTTTTTAGTTTTTTTTTTTTTTTGCCTATAACTAGTTCTTACTTTTGAAACGAATGAAATGTCCGCCATTATTCAAGTACACAACCAAAACAACTCAACCTCGTCCCCAGGTCTTCTCGGTTAACGGTGCATTAACCTGCACGAACGCTGCATTTTTGACGTCATTTCCTCGCTAAACACAAAATTCTTCCAAACTTGGTCATCAGTAACTGATTATGGTGAATTAAACGTGTGCTCTTAGCCAATCAGAATCGGGGAAATATTTTGAATGAATAATAACAATAGTACACGTTAATACAATTTTCTTTTGTTGCACTACTCGTTGTATTATATTATCTGACCAATTAATTTTGTTTTTTTCATTTCCCAGCTCCACTTGAAATACAGAGACACTTTTGGTTTGAAAAGAACCAGTTTTATGTCATAGTTTTGACCTCCGCTTTGGAGACAGGCCATCAATACAAGATCAAGATGAAATTTAGGGCAGAGCTGGGTGATGGTCTCGCTGGATTGTACAAGAGTACATATACAAGAGAAGATGGGACAGAAGTGTACGTCAATTTCATAAACCCTTTCACGTTTTTTAAAAACTTTTGACTGGGACCAAGGTTAGCCAAAATACGTCAACATGGCTAAAAAGAACGCCTTGAAATAAGATGCCATTTTAATTAGTTTGAACACGATTTGTGGAAAACCAACGAAGATAAGGCTCCGGAAAAACGTCGAATATTACAGACGTTTGTCAGGGGTGGGAAACAAGTTTGTTCCCACACCATACAAAAGTCTGCAAAATTTCTCGGCCTTCTGTAGCAATATCTTGGCCTGCTGTTCGGCACGTATCACCGTTAAACTTGGTGAGTTTCCTAATTTTATGACACTGTTTCTGGCAGTGGATAATTACTAACTGTTCTTAATCAAAACTTGAAAAAAAAACCGTGAAAGAATTCATTGTGTTGCATTGCTTTTAAGAAAAAGGGTCTTGTTGTCAAGTTCAAGAACTTGTATATTGTTATTGGCTCACAATACTTTTGTTTAAACCCTTCATCAGTTTCATAAAAAGCCGCAAGTGAACACGATGTGCACTTGTTTATAGAAAAGTGAAAAAAGAGGCCAGGATAAGGGCGCCAGAAATTTGCGTCAAGAAGGAATTAATGTTTTTTGCCAACACGTGAAAGAATCTGTCATAAAATATTATTTAATCATGATTAGCAGCTTCAACTAATAGGCCATTTTACAGCTGTGTGCTTGTGCTCTGAACAAATAGATAAATAGGTGAGCCTGGAGGTGCTGCATTTCATGTGCAAATTGTGTTATTCTCATGTTAGATGAAGATAATCATGCATTTACATTATTAAAAACGAGAGGGTTTGTAACAAGGTCTCCTTAGATCTCTTTTGTTCAAACGCCAAGACACTGAGCACACACTGACTGTAAAATGACCTATTAGTTGAAACCAACTGAATTTTCGCGGTAAGATTAAATCTGTCGACGCGTGTGTGACATTTTCATTGTAGAACTATGGCAGCTACCCAGTTTCAACCTACGGATGCACGAAGAACATTTCCTTGCTTTGATGAACCGGCTCTAAAAGCAACATTTACTTTTACTTTGGTACACGATCCAAAGTTGATCTCCATTGCGAACATGCCCATTAAGAGTACTGAGAAAAAAGATGGCTGGCAGTTTGATCATTTTGAAAAAACTCCACGAATGCCCACTTACCTATTAGCTTTTGTGGTGTGCGACTTCGATAAGACTACTAAAACTACTGGGCGTGGAACAAAGGTGAGCACAATAAAATAACATGTTAGTTATGTTAATAAGATAAGATATATTTCACTAACCGCTTGTTATAGACGATTGTAAGCATGCAGTTGCCATTCCTTTCGTGAGACTGCTGGAAAAGTGAGGTCGCATCTAAAAATGTCCAAAAAATCAGAAATATGCCTGTTGATTTGTACCTTATTATAGTATCTTGTGTTTTACTTGTCAAGGGATTCTAGTTAGCATGATCTTTTTGTTGATGAGTTAATGAGTTAGATCATTTTCGTAGATGACGTTCTATGCTCCACGAGACAAAATTGATCAAGTTGAATATGCCAAAGAGAATGCAGTCATTATGTTAGATTACATGGAGGAGTATTTCAATATTACGTACCCTCTACCCAAAGCTGGTAAGCGTTCCTGTGTCATTAAGTTGTACTCTTTAGACATTCGATAAACAGGTTCAGCTCAGCTCTTGGTATGTAGCTACTTCGCCTTTCGTTTCATCAGGTACATTGGGCGACCGTATCATGGTAGAAATCGAGAGGCTTGAATGTTTTTTGTACCTGACGCGACTGTCTAGAAAAAAAAAAGTTGCAAGGTGTTTGTATTGACCCGAAATAGTGACAGTTATATTACTACCTAATCCCCACAATCTGGGTGCTAATCATGCCAGTGCAAAGCTGCTTTTAATATAACCTCTTCAGCATACACGCACATTTTGTTATATTGTTCTATTCCTGATACTTCTGAATCGGGCGCAAAAGCAAAAACAGAAAATAAAAACAAACAGTAAACAAAAAGATACAACGCGTTGAAGGGGAAAGAAAATACCGAAAAGAACGAGAGGACAGTAAGAATTGAGATGGTAGAATTTTTCACAAAACACTCCTTACCGCGTTTGGCATTGTTTTTATAGCCATTATTCTTAGTAGTAACACAGTGCATACTTTTAACTACATTTGTGTCTGCAAGGATATTACTTCCGAAAGAAGCAAACATTAAGTGAATCGTAAAATACTTCCTCCGTGACTCAGTCATGAACTGCTTATTTACTCAAATGCATGAGTTTATCATTTTGTTTAAAAGTTACTCACTGGCAGATTCTCAAAAGTATCTAATTTTGAACATAACTTCCATTTTGCGTGACGCCTAAAATCAGGGTCAGTTAAAATGCGGCACCTGTCAGTTATCTACTAATGTGATGTAAACTCCGCCTTTTAATTGATCCATTTTGGCCAGGTGTCCAAAATGCAGCGCTTTTATTGGTTGAGTTCCAAAACAGCCTCTTCTCTTCTATAGTTTTAAGAACTTTTTTCATATGGCTTCGTATTATGTTTTTGCAGATATGGTTGCCCTTCCTGACTTTGCCTTCAGTGGCATGGAGAACTGGGGAATAATAATGTATCGAGAGGCAGCCTTGCTTTACAAACCTAACGCTTCGTCAGAAGCTAATAAGCAGCGCACAGCTGGCATTTTATCACACGAACTTGCTCATCAGGTATGCTTTTTCACTCTTGACTTACTGTCAAGGAGAAGTCTCATTGTTCTTCTTTTGCTGCAGAAGATACTTCTAACTCACGGCAAAACAAACTTGTTATGCTCTAAGGCGGAATGGCAAAGTGTATCAAAATATGTGTTCAAAAAGTAGGAAAACCAGGCGTTTCAATGGTGCTCCATCTTGCTCAGTTGTTTTAAACAGTAACAATTGCTTTTAATCCGCTGAAGAAGAGGGAGCACCCTTGAAACATTTAGGTAAACATTGCGATTCTCTCGATTATTTACGTTTCACAGTTTCTTCAAAACTTTTTGTAAGTCTCCAAGACGGTTCAGTTAAGTAGTAGCCCAAATTTCAGTGAACGACTTGAGTGGACGGCTGCGTCAAGTGAAACCCAAAGCTCGTTTTACAGGCGAATATAACGTATAACAATGTCAAATGGTAAAACTTTTCGGCAGCAAAAGAAAAGTAGTTCAAAATTGCTTATTTCGTAGAGCTGGTATGTATGGTGCATATGACTGTCCTTCGTTTAATTTTGGTTTCAGTTTGGGCTTCATGACTCTAGTGTACATCACCCATCAGCATGCCACTTTCATGTAACTTGTAGTCATGATTAAACCACGTCATTTTCTTTCTACAGTGGTTTGGCAACTTGGTTACTATGGCTTGGTGGGATGATCTTTGGCTGAACGAAGGATTTGCCAGCTTTGTCGAATTTTATGGAGTCGATGAAACAGAACCTGAGTGGAAAATGGTAACCGATGTCTCCAAAATGGCATTAATCAGTTACTGCAATTAAAGATGCACATAAAATTCTAACAAGTTTAAAGTGGTTCCCTTTTGATAACGGAAGGGACGGGCCGGGTTATCATTAAAACAGTTATAAACGTCTTGGAAATAGCAGGCTTCCAAAGATGTTTCTAAATAACCCAATGAAAAACGAAAAACGATTAAAACAAAGAAACAGTACTTGTAAATAAGTTACCATTAGAAATGAGGTTCACGACCGATAAGCAGGACTGATTCACGATGATAAACTGATTACAGAAAAATTGCGCTTTGTGCCTGAAACCGTACAATAATTGCCACCTGGCAAAGGCAACTGAAATCGGGCTCTGGTAATCTGGTAAAATAACCCGTCCCTACATAGCAACAATCCACTTAACTCTCGGACGTACACGCAAATTCATACCCCTCGCCGTGGTACGAGGGGGTTGGGTGTGGTGGTTGATATGTTGCAGTATTTCGAAACGATTTTACTCTCACTGGAAAGCCTTTGATCTTCTCAACAAGATGAGGTATATTTTAAGGGTGGTGGCGCTGCTGGAGGCCTGTGACGTCACCAAACAGGGTCGCCGACTTGGATTTTACCAAGAATTAGAAATCAGGGACAAACCGCGTGAACTGGTAATTTTTTGAGCTTGACATGTAAAATAACACGCAACTAAGTGCTTTGCACCACTTTATCCTGAAGCGTCACTTTTATTGTTGAAAGAAGTAAAACGTAACTTGCTTTTTCTCTCCGGCAAAAATGGCTTCACTACCTGCTAATTACGACACCATATCTTGCAACCATAGTAACTGTCCATCACTAAACTTGGCTGCAAAAAAATGCGGGGGATAGACGAACAGCTACTGAAAACGTCAGGTGATGATGTTTTATCGTCTAGGAAAAATCTTAGAAAAACCTAAGAGGCGGGTGGTAGCCACCCCCCTTGTACGTCCGAGGGTTGAACCATAGAGAATAGAAACTACAGTAGTTAGTACAGAGAATGGTTTGTAGAAGACGTTTTTTGTTCTTTTCCTTCAGCTGGACCAATTTGTAGTTATAGACATGATGTTGGCATTTACACTGGATGGTTTGGCGAATTCTCACCCAATCAGGGTTCCTGTGAATCATCCGGATGAAATCAATGAGATATTTGATTATATCTCATACAACAAGGTCAGTTGGTTGTTATTTGAATCTTCTGCTTCTTGTATTGGATGTTTATTTGACCATTAACCCAAACTTTACTTAGATACAGTTGGTAATTTTTGCTCAGTGTGATTCTCATCAATCTGTAAATTTTGATGAGGAAGTTTGGCTTGGGCAAGAGAGCGTGAATTTTACTTATTTTCATTTATTTTTTGTCATTAAAGGATTCTTTATCACCTCATACTATTTAGTTCCTATTTCCCAGAATGGATTAGTTGGGTCCGTGCTATACTACTAATGCAAATCGCTACATGATTATTCCTATCGCAAGTCAACCGATACGAATACTTGATTATACTACACCACCACCAATACTACGAATACTACAATCCTTACCATTACTTCTATCGACTTGATGTTTTATATTTTATTACTTGACAGGGATCATCAATAATTCGCATGCTTCAACATTTTCTCGGTAAAAGTGTCTTTCAGAAAGGATTAACGGTGCGTATATATCCTTGATTGATGGATTTAGATTTAAGCTTCGAGTTTGACAGTGCTTAAATTGCATGTGAACTTGTGTGAATAAATCTTTCAAAAGGCCACTTCGACAGTGTTGTACATTCACTATTATTCTGAGATACTGTAAAAAATAACCCAAACATTTCCTGCTCAGACTTTTTAAAGAGTACCTCGAAATTTTTTAAACACTGAGTAGCATAATAAGCCGTTCCAAAATACTCCGTAACATTCTAAACATTTTAAGGTTTTCAATCTCTGCTAATCTAATTTGCTGATGACACTAGCATATTTTTTGAACACAGTGACCTGGATGTACTTACCTCCCATCTTAACGACCAGCTCAACAATGTTTCAACTTGGCTAAAAGCCAATAAGCTATCAATCAACGTTAAGAAAACTAAGCTAATGATTTTCAGGCCAAGGAAAAAAACGTTACCTATCACAAGGCAGATAATTTTAGAAAACAATGTACTTGAACAAGTAGACAATACTAAGTTTCTCGGAGTTTATATTGATCAGCACCTTGAGTGGAAAACTCATGTAAATTTTATTGCGGCTAAGATTTCTAAATCTGTCGGGTTACTTTATAAAGCTAAATACTATTTGCCCTCAACATCTCTTCTAACACTATACTATGCACTCATTTATGAGGGTCTCAATGGGGTGGTGGCTTTTACGGTTATCGGCTAAAATTTTGGCTCTTTTACGGCTATCGGTTAATTTTTTTCAGTTACGGTTAACGAAAAAGTTAAAAATTAACTTCTTTTGTTTCAAAAAGTTAACTATTAATTAACCTGTATTTTTTTGTATCTTTAAATCAAAATAAAGTCTTCGGATCATCTCGGGATGAAATAAGCTATTCTTTTGAAAAATTTTGACATTTGATAGATCATACTTTTTATAAAGTATT